AGCCCCTGGTTCCCATCTCACGGAGCAGCGGCAGGATAAATTAAAAAGTCCCGTCTCTGTCGCGTGGTATCACTAGCTGGAAGTGCTAAAGTCACTCACTCAAGAATTAGTCTTTTCTCAATTTGTGTCCAGCTGAATGAACAGATTGACATGTCATGAGTCTGTCGTGTGAGAGGGAAAACCAGCTCTACCTTGGGTTACTTTAAAGGCTGTTTGGGTGCTTTAACCTTGTCTGCAGAAGTCACCTCCATTGTGGAGGCATAACCTTTGTGAGCCTGAGCGTTTGTTAGCTCCGTCAGTCTGCCATCCCGCAGTCACGCCGTGGATCTTGGAGAGCAGGGCCTTCTGCTCTAGAGACGGCGTGTGCGTCCTCTTTGCAGGGCGAGGCGGTCAGCCCTGCTTGTGGGTTTTCTCTGTCATCTTCTGCAACGCTCTTGAGAAGGCTTCACCTGGGAGTTTAACGCCTGCCTGCACCTGGTGTAAGTTGGTAAGGCAGGCTGGAAGGAAATCCGCCTGGGGAGTCCCGGGAACCTGCTCCTTCTTCCTGGCAAGGAGACACTGTGGTTGGGCACTGCTTGGCAGGTTTGGGTGCCTGAGGCCCAAAGTCAGCTCCAGTAAGGTACTGTAGAGCTTGGCAGGGCTTTCAGAGAGCGCAGAATTAGCAGCTACAGGGTCTTCACTGGCCGCTTCCTAAGAAGGTGTGCAGTTCAGGTCTTGTGTGTGGTTTGGCAGTCCTGTTGTAACGGAAACTTCCAATTTGACACTAGCTGCAAGTGAGGGACCCATCCGAGCCAGCAGCTGGTCTGACCCTGCACAGCCGTGCTGCCCGCGAGGGAGCGACCATTCTGCTTTCCACCTTCATGACAAATGGCCAGTGTAGCCGGTGTCACTCCTGTGAAGTAGAGCACATGGTCCTGCGCTTGAAAGTTCATGCTTTTCACCTTTTTCTCACTGAAGAGATTCTTTTTTGTTAGAACTCACCCTAAAACTGATTCTTGGAAACATATGAAACACAAACGATCTTAGTTTTATTTCTGTTTCTGTAATACACATACAGCCGTTGTGAGGAAAAAAGATACTAAAGTGTGGGGGGTTTACATACGAATTAAAAATGCTGCTAGGCACATGTCACTGGCTCAGATGCTCTTGTGCTGCTGACAGCTAAAGCTCCTGGAGCAGTAAGTAAAATGGAATATGTATTAAAACAAAAAACAAACCAAACAAAAAAAACCCAAAACATTTCTGGAAGGCAACAACTGCCCCAGTGGAAAGCTGCTGCTTGTCAGCTCGGGCTCTGCAGAAAGGCTCGGTTGAAGGGAGGCTAGTAAATCGAGGTGCAGAGCACGTGTGCTGGTTCACCTCAGGCAACCAGTGCCGGGGAGGCCTTCCTTGGGGCTGCTGGGGTTGTAAACAGCGTGTCAGGACGGAGTGGAGGTGGTTCGCAGGAAGGCTCCCAAGAGCTGTGTGTCAGCCAATGCCCTGCATATCTGTCTGCAGTCTAGGGGGCAGGATGAGCTCCAGAGCTGCAAGGAGGACAGAAGAAACAGCCAGAGGTCAGCAACTATTTTTAACTCCTTTTAAATGAAGATTTTCTTATCCTTTGGCAGTTTTCTTTCCGCTTCAAATGGCAAGAAGCCTTTAAAAGCACCTCACTCTGTCTCTTCAGCTTTCTGCTGCTTGACATTCATTCTCCCTCATAGCTAACCTGTTCTCTGGTATTTCTCTCTTACTCCAGGCTCCCTTTGGAGGAGACCACTGCACTGATTTTTCTGTTTCTTTAGTAGCGTTCATTCATCTTTGCTGCTGCCTGAGAACTAAAGATTGAGACTGACTGTAAATTCCTGCTATTCTTTGATGGCTAGTGAGATGGGGTCAGTGTATCTCAAATTAATGTCAGCTGTCAGTGCATCACAGTGCAGTCTGGAAGTCTGCTCCAGACAGACCTGAGCAAGGTGAAGAGGAAGAATTGTCTGTTAGGATCAGAGTGCGTTTGTCTGAGTTCTGTATATGAAACTTCACACAAGTAGTAAGATTCACCCATAAAATGCACAATATCCCTTTCTTTTCTGTTGCACTGTCTGATTATCAGACGTGGCCACACTTCAGGATTTTCTGACATTACTTGTGCACGCCTCTTGTTTCAAAAGTCTGTGTTTCCATTAGACATTTCATAGTAGTAGTTCACTGTTGGCAGTAAAAGAAAGAAGATTCTTCTCTCTCCTGTTAATGGGGACTCAACTGAAATGAGGATGCTCTAAAGCAGGCATGTTAAAGGGAATAAGGTTTGATAAATTACAGAAAAGATGTAGAACATGGATGTTATTTCTTCCAAGAAGATTGTGTCTAACTAGCACCTCAGAGGTTTTGGTGGTTATTATTTATGAAACGTAAGCCATGTGTTTGAAAAATAGACTTCCTTTACTGCTCTTCTGTTGAAGCCCCAGTGTTTGCAGCAGGAAGAGGTAATGTTTGGAGGCATTGGAAGCCAGTTCAGAAACCCACTTGGAATGGAGTCAGGCAGTTTTGTCTTCATTTGCTGAGCAGCCTGAGTAGCTGTTTTTCTCCCATCAGAACAGATGTTTGCTACATCTGATGGCAATTAAAATGGCTTAAAATGAAAATTCTCAAAAGTATTGAGAATCTAGAGACAAGGATCAAGTCCTGCATACTAGGTCGTTGCCTCCGTCCTGCAGAGAACACCGCAAAGTTAGCTTGCCTTTGGGAACATCAGGCAGTCCAGATAGAAACAGAACACCACTAGTTGAACCGGTTGTCTCCAAAACGATGTCAAGTTGGGAACTGGTCTCATCCTAGCTTGTGCTAAAAGTTTCCTCTTCAAATGAATGAATTATTTGCTAGACCAAGCTATGGCTGCTGCTCTAGCTTAAAGGTGTAGACTTGCTTAGAGATTTACTGCTGTTTGGCATGAGAGTCCTTTAGGCTTTTTTTTATATGCTGCAAGTGTTTAAGCCGGAGCAAATTTCAGTGCTTTGAAGTTACTCTTTTCCTGGGGTGATAACTAGTTATTTTTATGATACCTAGATAAATAAGAGTGAAATTCCCACAGTTACATGGGACGAGCAGCAGTTGCCACTTTTTGTGCCCAGCTGCGTGTTCCCTATTTGTTAATCTCTTTGCCTCACTTCTCCATCCGTAAGATACTGTCTGTTTAGGTGTATTTGTGGCTCTGGGTTGATTACAATGTCAAGTGTCTTGAAGTCCAGGTCATAGACACAATCTGTCTGTGGATTCCTATATAGGGAAATTGCTATTTTGAAATTCAATATCAGAAAGAATATTCTCTTTCAAAGGATAAGGTGGTAATAATACTGACCAGACGTAGGTGGTTGGAGTTAAAGACTTTATGCTGGAGCAGCAGGCGTTGCTGTACTGCGGTGAGGCTGGGCCCCAGCACGCTTGCTGAGGCTCAGTGTGACGACCGAGGCCCGTGCAGCATGTCAGTGCGCTCAGGGCTCGTTCATCTTGACGGGATTGTTGATGCACAGGTGAGCAACGGTCCAGAGCTGTCCGATGCCCGTGTGCGTTCACTGTCACCGCATCCATGTTCACACAGAGCGCAGTTCTGGTGTGGATGTTTCCGGACCTGATGTGGGGTCAGACCAGAGCCTGATGCTTGGAAAGTGCGGGCTGGGGCACTGGTGCAGTGAAAGGGCTGAACTGATTCTTTCTTTTCTTTGCAGGGCTTGATGCATTCCAGTGGGCCCGTTGGCCGCCACCGCCAGCTGATACTGGTTCTGGAGGGAGAACTGTACCTCATTCCTTTTGCTCTCCTGAAGGGCAGTTCCTCCAACGAGTACCTCTATGAGCGCTTCAGCCTCATTGCAGTGCCGTCCATCCAGTCGCTGAATCCCAGCTCCAAGGTCTGGCATTGCCTTATAAAGCCTCCCTCGTGGAGAGAAAAACTCTGTCTTTCCTGTGGGGTGCAGGTTCCTATACATGCAAGAAAAGCAGCAGCTCTGTCCTGCTACACCAGACACAAGAGTAGAACCCACAAATATACTGCCCTCCTGAGGCACTCCCAGTTCTGATGAGCACGTTGAGCACCATGGCTGTGAAGCAGATTCTGATGTAGTTCCTGCAGCACAAAATCACAGCCCCAGGCATGCCAGGAAGGGCAAGGGGAAGGGATCATTTGGATTTCCTCGTGTAAAGGATGGCATGTCCTGGGGCGTGGAACTACATGGCAGACTGCTGAAATGTAGGTGTTTGTGATCTGTGCTGAGCTTCCTTGGCAAGCTGTCTGTCCTATCACATTTCTGGTGTGTTTACCTACATTTTAGCTTTCTGTGCGGAGAAAGCCACTAATGTCTCATGACACTGAGGCTGTAAGACAAAATGAACACCACAGGCAAATCCTGCAGAAGTATCTTCATGCTGATGTTTGTCATCAGCGTTTCTAAGGCCCAGGTCTCCATGGAGAGTGCCCCAAGTCACATCTGCTCTTGCTGAGCAGAGTTCTGCTGCCTGTCGTGGCTTGCACTGGATTAAATACAGCCACTGGAACAGCACGAGGTCTGAACCATGTCAACATTACTGCTGCGGGGACTAGGCTTGTCTGTTCAGTGGCAGGCCCCAGTGCTCAGTTCCGTGCTGCGCCGTGCCACTGGCGGTGGTGATACAGCTGCGAGAAACCAGTCAGTGAGTGATCACAAGGAGTCTTCCGCTACGGTGGGAAGCTGAGACCTTCTTTATGCTTTTAGCTTTGCTACAGCCTTCAAAGGGACGTGGGCTAATCTGTTGCTTTCTGTTACTTCTATCTGTTCCCCAAGGTGTGGGGATAGAAATCCCAACTGGGCTCAAGTGGAGATGTTCCTTGGAATAATTAAATGGAAGAAGCTAAAGAAATGCAAAGCTTTCTGTAATTATGACAACCAGACTTCTGTTTAGAGCCAAAGAGACAGGATATTTTATTAGCAGCACCATTACAAACAGGTCTTTGAACCTATTTTCTCTTTCTCTCTGTAGTCCCATGCAAGGAAGAATACTCCTGCTTACTCCAGTTCTACCTCAATGGCAGCTGTCGTAGGAAATCCCAAGCTCCCTTCAGCAGTTATGGACAGGTGGCTATGGGGACCTATGCCCTCTGCAGAAGAGGAAGCATATATGGTATCTGAGTTACTTGGCTGCCAACCCTTAGTTGGCAGCGCAGCAACAAAAGAGAGGGTCATGAGCGCCCTCACTCAGGCAGAATGTGTCCATTTTGCAACTCATGTCTCCTGGAAACTGGCTGCTTTGGTCCTGACACCCAACACTGACAGCAATCCAGCCAGCAGCAAGAGTTCTTTTGGGAATCCCTACACAATCCCAGAATCCCTTCGGATGCAGGATGATGCCAGTGATGTGGAGAGCATCTCGGACTGCCCTCCTCTTCAGGAGTTTCTGCTTACAGCAGCTGATGTCCTGGATCTGCGGCTTCCTGTCAAATTAGTCGTTCTTGGCTCTTACCAGGAATCCAACAGCAAAGTCACTGCTGATGGAGTCATTGGCTTGACGAGAGCATTCCTGGCTGCTGGGGCTCAGTGTGTCCTGGTGTCACTCTGGCCTGTTCCTGTGGCTGCTTCCAAAATGTTCGTGCATGCCTTCTATTCCTCACTCTTAAATGGGATGAAAGCCAGTGCAGCGCTTGGAGAAGCGATGAAAACTGTCCAGAGCAGCAAGCAGTTTTCCCATCCGTCCAACTGGGCAGGTAGGAAGGATCTGCTTCTTGACAAACAAGACGGGGTTTCTACAAAACGCTCTTATGCCAAATTGAGTTAAGCAAGGAGCAGTGCTAGCAGGTGGTTTGGAGTAGCATGTGCCCTGTGCTCTCTCTGAACTCTGCCCCCATGTTTCAGACCCTGATTCAACTGACTGTGGCTGAATGTCAGTGTCATGGGAAACAACAGTATTTCACTGTGTATAGTGAGTGGGTTGTGAATTTGATGTCATTTAAAGCAATTGTGAGGTGAAGTCTGTTTCGTCACTATAGTTTCATCTCTGGAAAGAAACAATGTGCAATACAATAACTCCTTCCCCGTGTTGGAAATCTAGTCGGTCAAATTTCCTGTGTACTTGGGATGGAGTTTGCTGGAGCAAATTTACAGAACCTTCTTACTGAGAATTTAGTGAAGGTCTAACAAGGATGCAAGAGTAGCACTTCTGGAAGTTGCAGCAGCAGCCAGTAGCTGTGATTTCTGTGATGTAAACCTTGCAGGGCTTACTCCTTTGGGTCTTTTAGGAGAAAGGTTTCCCTTGTTTCCACTGGAAATTTCTCAGCAGTGTAAGCTCCGTGGTGGAGTGCTGGTGCTTGCTTGCTCTCAATTAGATGAGTGAGTTGAGATTCAGAAAGACAAAGAGTTCAACGGTGTTTCTACAGGAATATGTACAAATATCCTGCTTTTTCTTTTTCCTGGCACAAGTCCTGGTTTTTGAAAGTTGCAGGCATTCCCTAAATGGATTTTTTTGCACAGGCAGTAGTACCATGTTTTTTAGATGAGGAAGCTGTTGTGAGTATGGCTCTGATGTGAACTGTGTGGAGCTGGAGGAGTGGGGAACTCAGTAGAGCTTGTGAAAATGAGCACCTGGGAGTTAGTCTGACAGTGATGTCAGGCATGTTGAGTACAGTGTTAGCATGGGATTCAGACAATACAAGATGGGAGCCGAGTTTAGGTTACAGTTCGCAGTTCAGTTTGTATTTTATTTTCCTTCCAAGATTTTTCTGTCTCAAAAGGAAAGAGCATTCAAACAAAAAAAAAGTGGCTGCTTCCCAGGCAAGCCAGAATGAGCATGGACAGGGGTGCTTGGCACCACCACCAAGTGCAGGCTTCCAGCTCCTCACGGTGTCTTAGTACTGCCCCTTCCATGGTACGTGAGCAAGTCCGTCACACGCAATCCCTGACTCTCGCCTTTGACTCCTGATGGTGAGTCTCAGGTAGAGCACCAGAGTGAGGTCGGGCAGCCACGTGCTCGCTGCAATGGGTGAGAAGGGGCAGGCGGAGCTCCTTGGGCTGACATTTGGAGAATCTGGCATTCAGATGGCACATAAGCCGAGACAGGTTTCTGTCTGAGATGGGGAAAGCTCTCAGTTTTCTGAGTTCTGTTTCTGTGAGCTCTGTTCAGCATTTCTTGATTTCTGCTGCTGTAAAGGAGACTTGTAGCAAGCTAGGACAAGTTTAGCTGCAATACAGTGTTTTTGTGCTTGCTTGGATAGGAAAACACTCCATTTAATAGAGGAGGGGACAGTAAGAAGCATCTAGAAACTTTCTGGGAGTTCAGTCTATGGAGCCGGGCAGGGATTGGGCAGCTGCTCTGGGAAAGGAATGTCACCCTGCAGGGCACAGTGAAGCATCATTCCATCAGACTGAGACAGCAGAGGACATCTGCTTCTCTTTTGAACATTTTCTATAACAAAAGGAGATTGAGCGTCTCTTATTCTGAATCCTGCAGGCTTCATGCTTATTGGGAGTGATATGAAGCTGAACAGCCCTTCTTCGCTAGTAGGACAGGCCCTGACTGAGATTCTGCAGCACCCTGAAAGGGCACGAGATGCTCTGCGTGTCCTGCTGCATCTGGTAAGAGAAAGGAAACCTACCACACCCAGCGGGCTCCAGGGAGGGGCATTGCAGCCCTTGTAGTTGTGAGATAATGTGACCTGTGGGTATGCATCTGTAAATGATGAATGGGAAGAGAAGCACCCTGATGTGCAGCAACTCCCTCTTGAATAGGTACCTTCAACCCTTCTCCCTTACCTTAACATAGTCTCTGGTCAGTGTGAAAAGACTAGGACACTTGATGGTATCCAGGGCGAAAAAAAAGGGAAAGTAAGCGGAGTCTTACATTGTATTGTGACAAAATCCTCCCCAGACCTATCTGTTGAATTGGGTCTCAGCTTTACAAATGAGATAATCATTGAGGTTAATTGTTTCTACAAGAAAATAGCTACAAATACTGCAGTCGTGGAGATGCAGAGCACGGTGGCTGCTGTCTCTTCGTGTATTTGGAAGATAAGAGGCACCTTTGTCCCCAGATGTGCCCATAGCCTGTTGTGGGGAGCAGCAGGACTGAAGCCAAACTGCCAGATGGCTAGAGTAATCTCTCGTGACTTTTAATACTTTTCTTTCCAATGTATCTTCTGTGGTCCTGCAGGAGTGTGGAGTATCCATAGGATGGCGGAAACCTGTGGATATTGCTGGTCATCCCAGTTGCTGGGTTTTGTGGACGCATATCCTTCTTTACTGTTTGCCATGTAGCTGCAGGCTCTGGCCTGGTAATAAGCAGCATACATGAGAGACTGGAACCTGACCCTGAGTCATGTTCTGGGGAGAAATGCAGCTGCCAGGCTTATGGGAAATGATGACAATCAAACTGGTACTTGGTTTCTGTGGCATTACTTCCCCCAGCATCGCTGGAGTATTGGCACTCAGCCCAGTGATTTTACAGCTGTGGGTGCTGAGTTGCTGCAGCCTTTGCTTTCAAGGGTGCTGACATCCTTCTGTGTAAGGCAGGCCAGGTTCAACGTTGGGTTTACTGTCTTTCAACCTGCTGTTCCTGCCTCTTCACTGTGTAAAAAGAGGCAGTTAGTAAAAATCTCTTATAAAATAAGCTAATGCTGTATTTTCCCCAAAGGTGGAGAAATCATTGCAGCGAATCCAGAATGGGCAGCACAACTCCATGTATACGTCCCAACAAAGCGTGGAGAATAAAGTTGGTGGAATTCCAGGCTGGCAGGCCCTACTCACTGCGGTAGGATTTCGGTTGGACCCTCCAGCCAGTGGCCTCCCGGCAGCAGTGTTCTTCCCAACCTCTGACCCTGGTGACCGGCTGCAGCAGTGCAGCACCACCATACAGTCCCTCCTAGGTAAGAAGCAGCCAGCTATGGGCTCTGTCCCAGCAGACGTCAGCCTTTCTCTGCCTTTCTCTGATGCAAGCCTGTAAAAGTGATGTTTTACATCAGTGAGGTTAAAGTATTTAGCAGGGTGGAAGTTCTAGAAGTAAATGTTTACTGAAAATTTTGTCATAGATGGGAATCGTTTACAACTGGGCCCAGTATCTGAGAAGCATGATGTGACTATTACTTTCTCCCAGCTCTCAGTGAGAAAATGTGTGATCAGATGCGAAGTGGGAAAACCTCTTGCTTTCTGGAAATTGCCGTTGCTTCCAGAGCTCTTCAGTGATATGGGGGAGATGCATTAGCCGAGTTTGTGTTCTGCTCAGGTGGTTGCATTTCTAGTAGTCAAGAAACAGATACTGAACAATCCCCGTTTCTGCTAATGTTTTTCAGGTTTGCCTAACCCTGCACTTCAGGCACTTTGTAAACTTATCACAGCTTCAGAAACAGGGGAACAGCTTATCAACAGGGTAAGTTGGGAGGTGTTCCTCCGGTACCGGTTTCCAAATGGTTCTTCCCAGGTCAGTAAATTCAGAAGTGCACAGAATGGTTTATGCCCTGGTCTGTCAACCCAGAGCTTGCTAGGAGACTTCAGGGTTGAAATTCTAAACTTGCCTGTTTGTGTGAATGAGTGCGTGTCCAGAAGAGAAGGCGGCAGGTCTGTCACTGGGCTGCATGGCCTTGGGTCTCCCTGTTCAGTGACAGAAGTGAAAACATGAAGCCTGCTGCAGTGAGGGGGAAGCAGAATGTGGGAAATGAGTGGCAGAAACACTGATTGCCATCTGGCCATCCTGTCTAGGGCCCAGGTTGGCTGGTCTTTGCCCACTGTAATTACCAAAGTCCCAAGGTATAGTTGACTTTGGACAATGCAAGGTCTGTCAGAAAACTGACTGAGCCTGTGCTTCTCCTGGTGTGCATGCTCGTAGCCCTGCGGGAAGGACTCAGGGTCTGTAAGAGAAAGGCAGTGCCGCCTGTGGCTATGAGACTTCTCCCTGCTCCCCCCAACCTCCTTCACATTCCTCCCTCTCCCCAGTCTTTCTAGCATGCCTAGCCTAACCTAACCTTTCTCTGTGCCACCAGCCTGGCTGGATTTCCAGTACATGTTTCTTACTGTCCTGATTGCTCCTCTAAGGAGGTTTATCTTGATCATTTGCCTGCCTTAGTAGATGAACACACTGCACATAGTGAATGGGTGTATAGCCATGCAAAAGCACTCTAGGGAAGTGCCGTGGTGGGTAGCTGGGATTATCTCTGTGTAGCTTCAGAGGGCTTCTCTTCATTCTGTCGAGTCTCTCTGTGCAAAATGCAAAGAGCCCCAGCTTTGCTGTTGCCCCCTAAGCAGCCTGCTGTGTCAGTCCCTTAGACTGAGTCTGCTTCAAGGAAAGGGTTTCTTGTTATGATCTGCAGTAGCGCATGAGAGATTTCTAATGGCTTGTCCTTTAGGGCGTTTTGCTTTCTTGCCTTGGCTGTTTTGCCAGTGCATGAGACTTCTGTGGTTGCGCAACAGGGTTATTTTTTCCTCACTGCCACCAGAGGGAGGCCCGGAGTCGAAGGGGGGTGATAGGTAGAAGGCAACATTCCGACAGGACTGAGTGTGTTACAGTGTCCGTGAGATTACTTCACAATTGTCTTCTTGCCTCGGATCATTAAATCACCCAAGGAAAAACATTCAGGTGGTTGTACGCAACTAGCAAAAGGTGCACTTGCCATTTCCTCAGCTGCCTCATGCAATAAATACTGGCAGGGGTATTGCCTTGTTTCTGCAAGTGTTCTTCTGTAGCCCAAACCTCAGGCAGAATTTCCTTTTGCACGAGAGTCTGTCCAGTTGCAAGTTAGGGCTTTGCAACTTAGCTCTCCCTTCCTCTGCACTTACTTGCTTTTTTACCTCTCCTTCCTCTCAGCAGTTGAGTTGGTGAGCGGCAAAGGCTCTGCCTGTCCCAAAGGAGAGAAGACTTTGTTTGAAACTGAAGCATAATGACTGCTGGTTCAGTCAGTGCATGTTGCTTACTGTCTTTCCCGTATGGGTGATAGGCATCAAGGGAGCAGGTGCTCTTGGCATTGGTGAAGCAGCAAGGCAGGGAGCCTGATCTTTTGCTCTGGGTAGAAAATGAGTATTTTTAGTGCAAAGCAGAAGGCGGGAACCTCAAAAGAGAACTTCAGTGCTACTGCATGTGCAAGGAAAAGTTAGGGATTGCTGGCTGCGTTAAGTGCCAATAATGTATCCCAGAGAAAACAAGAGAAGGGCTTGTTTTGTGTTCAGCCCTCTGCCAGAATTGGGTTGGCCTGAGTGTCTGCCTGCTAAGTGTACAAGTTGATTGCAATGAGCTGGGCACTCCCAGATTCTGGCTGCCTGTTCCCACGCTGTTAGGCTCCTGATTCACAGCTCAAGCCGTTTCCATTGCTCCCTTCTTTCTCTGGACAAAGCATCTTGCAGTCAGGGTGCTGGTTTGCATGTGGATGGGTCACTGCAGGCTTCCCAGTCGCAGGCATTTTGTAGCACAGAATAACCTGTGTTCTTTCTTTCTTTTCTCCTCTCTTTTCCTTTCTTGTTATCTGCTGCCCGAAGGCTGTTAAAAATATGGTGGGAATGGTGAGTATTACATGCGCTGGGGAACAACACTACTGTGCAGGACGAAATGTCTTCGTCACTGCAGAGCCACTTGCCTGTGCTGCGTAGTGTCTTCAACCCACTTTCAGGCCTGGCATTTGCCCCGTAGTGCTACTGTGGAAAAAAGGCTGTGTAAGCTTTTGTGGATTGTAAGAGATGGGTGGTCCTGAGGTTAGCTGGTCCCTGATGAATGGCTTTCCATCCTTCCTGCCCTGGCTGTGTTTTTGAATTACGTGGGATCCTGGCACCTTAATTTGTGTCAGATCTTCAGAAACACATTTTTTCTCTTCTTTGCTACTCCTGTCCCTTGGGCACAGTTGAGAAACTTCTTTCCTGGAGGCCATGGAGGTATTAGGAAAGTCTTCCGTGCTTTCATATGACTTGTTCTGCCCAGTTAAGTGCTGAGAAAGAGTTTCTTGGGATTTGCATAAGGAGTATGGCTCAGTCATGGAATGGGCTTTAGTATGTTTCTGTGAAGAGCTCCAAAATATCTCTTTCCTTTTCTTTCACTTCACCGATTTTCCTGCTATGCTTCCTTCTTGCTCAGTTTCCACTGGCCACACCCCCAGCCCTCACCCCTGTTCTGTCCCCGCTTTTGCTGCTGTTTCAGTTTGTCCCTTGCTGCTGTCCCTGGACTGTCCCTCTGCCCAGACCTTTTCATCTCACTGTTCTGTTCAGGAGCAGCAGCTGAATATGTGGGTGTACAGGGAAAGGGGTGTTTGCAGTGCATTTCCTTAGCTGTCGGAAAAGCAGTGACGTGATTTGTAAGGAAAGACTAATGTTTGTATTGTTGTCTTCAGCTGCATCAAGTCCTGGTTCAACTTCAGGCAGGCGAGAAGGAGCAAGATTTCTCCTCTGCACCAATCCAGGTTTCCATCAGTGTCCAACTCTGGAGGCTACCTGGCTGTCACGAGTTTCTGGCAGCTCTAGGTAGGACAACACTTCTTTCTGTTGTCTTTCTAAAAGCTATTGCTGTTCCTTTGGCAGGGGTATCTGCACTGAGCAAGGGTAGGATGTACCAGGGTGCTGGTATGTACTAGGGTCTACATCCTGCAGAAAAGAGAGATGAGCACTAAGTACCAGACTGGATTTTATGCCAGTTTGGGCCTTGGTTAGGGTTAGTAAAAAGGCATTGTGGGGAGGAGGCAACACTGCAAAGCGAAACATCCAGGAAGATGTCTGGAGGAGCTCGTAAAAGCCACACGTCATTTCTCTCACACAGTCGTGCCGCCTGCAGCCCGGCCCTCATCTGCTGAATTCCAGCGTCTGTGCTCTTCTTCAGACCCATTTGTGAGAAAACTTTGGATTAATGATGAATGGTAGAGGCGTGTGGGACGCTGTCCCCTGAGATGTGTTCAATATATCCTTCTCCAACAATTCCAAATCATTCGCAGCTAAAAAAGTACTGACTAGTGCACTTCGGGTGTCAGTTTGGACAGAAGTGATTTGTTTAGGTGTATGTCTTCGCAGTCCAGTGCCATAAAGCTCCCGACACCTCCTGGAGAAGGGTGCTGAGTAGTAATAAAAACAGACCAACGAACTGTACATTGTAGGTGAAGAGTCATCATTCCAGGACACTGCGGGATCTCATACCTCTTTGTTCTATTTCTGTTATAAGTGAGATCACACTTGTTTAAGACATTGGATCTTTCTGTGAGATGTGATTTTCTGCTCCGTATTCCACTACAGGTTTTGACCTTTGTGAAGTTGGCCAAGAGGAGGTGATTCTGAAAACTGGGAAACAAGCTAACAGGAGAACCATGCACTTTGCTCTACAATCCTTGCTGGCACTTTTTGGTAAAGCTACTTACAGTAGTTTTTGTTCCTATATCGTCTGATGATTTGATCAGAATGGCTTTTATTGAAATCTCACCTTCTTAGCTTTTGCAGAGATCATACATACATCATCACACGTGTGTCGTACAGACCGTACTCATACAACAGCTGCAGCAAATGGTATTTTTATATGGGAAACAAACACTAAGCCTTGGCTGAGGCCAAAGCTGGGAATGGGATCGAGCAGCTGGAGGATGTGTAACTTTTTGAGGTGTAAAATGATAACGAACTGACAAGTTTCATCTAGGATACCTGGACTGAGCTTCCTGCCTGTGTGTTTCCTGGGCTGTGCACACTTCTCTTCTCACCTAAGTAGTAGCTGGGTTTTTTGAAGTAGCACAGAGTCTGAGTGCATGTTTTGTAGCATTTCCTCTTAATTCTGAGACAACGTTACCTGGCTTTGTTTGATTTTACTGTGTATCTAGGGGCATGTTCGTACTTTTTTTTTTTCTTCTTTTTTTTTTAGATTCTACAGAGCTGCCGAAGCGCCTTAGCCTGGACAGTTCCTCATCGCTAGAGTCACTGGCTTCTGCTCAGTCTGTTTCCAACCCTGTACCCCAGTATCAAAACCCTCCATTCTCTCCTCCTTGTCCAGACAGCATTGCATCAGATGCCATTTCTGTGTATAGCCTGAGCTCCATTGCCTCTTCCATGAGTTTTGTTTCCAAGCCAGAGAGTGTGCCAGATGGTGGGGGACACAGAGGGCGCCAGGACTATGAGAGGCCCAAGAACATCTACCCGCACAGGTCTGCAGTACAGAGCCAGTTGTCACCACAAACGAGCACTGTAGCCAGCAAAGATGAGGAAGAGTATGAAGGTTTTTCTATAATCAGCAACGAGCCTTTGGCCAGTTACCAAGAAAATGTAAAACCAAGATTTTCGCCTGATCACAAACAGCCCAAAACTGGTCAGGCTGGAGGCATTAAAGAGTGTGTCAGCTCCAAAGGGAGCATAAGTACCCCAAATTCTCCTGTTAAAATGACTCTTATTCCCAGTCCAAATTCACCTTTCCAAAAAGTTGGGAAGCTTGCAAGTTCTGATACTGGGGAATCTGACCAGTCTAGCACTGAGACTGACAGCACTGTCAAATCCCAAGAGGACAGTAATCCAAAGCTTGATCCACAAGAGTTGGCCCAAAAAATTCTAGAGGAAACTCAGTCTCACCTCATTGCAGTTGAACGTCTTCAGAGAAGCAGCAGCCAAATAAGCAAGAGCAACAGTTCAGATGATGGGGCTTCCACCCCAGCAGGTGTGTCTGCGTTCAGATCTTCAGAGACCAGTGCGTTCAGTCGGCCAGTCAGCTCTAGTCAGAAGAATCAGTCTTCACCTCTTGCAATTAAACCAAAGCCTCCAACAAGGAGTTCATCCCTTCAGAAAGTGAGTTCTGGCTACAATAGCCCTACGACATCGGAGATGTCAAACAAAGAAGGCACAGGCCAGTACAGTGGGCAGCCATCCCCCAGTTGTGATTCACATGGGTCCTTAACTGAGCAGCCTCACTTCAAACTCAAGTACCCCAGCTCACCCTACAGCGCTCATATTTCTAAATCACCCAGAAATATCTCTCCAAGCTCAGGGCATCAGTCTCCTGGTGGCAGCACTCCATCTCCTGCTCTTTCTTATTCCTCAGCTGGTTCTGCTCGCTCAAGTCCAGCTGATGCCCCAGACATAGACAAATTAAAAATGGCTGCCATTGATGAAAAAGTGCAAGCAATTCACAACTTAAAGATGTTCTGGCAAAGCACTCCCCATCACTCCACTGGCCCGATAAAAATTCTCCGAGGAGCTCCTGGAACAATGACTTCTAAGAAGGATGTCCTCAGCTTGCTGAATTTATCTCCACGGCACAGCAAAGAAGAAAGTGCAGATAAGCTGGAACTAAAGGACCTGTCTATTGAGCAACACCTTGCTTCTCCACAAAAGAACCCTCCAAACGGACACAGGCGCCCTGAAACTACAACTGCAGTGACATCAACGCATTCTCCACCTTCCAGTAGCACTCCAGGAACTGCACGCTCCTTGAGGCTGCCATCTGGGAATGGTTATAAATTTTTGTCACCAGGAAGATTTTTTCCTTCCTCCAAATGTTGAAATGTCTTGAGTACCAGCGGATGACGTACAGTCTCGTTAAAGTATTTGCTTCTGCCCACCTGCCTTTATCAACACAGAACCGGTATCTGAGAAGCTGTGGTCATACCCTCAGTCGGCAGTGCACAGGGATGTGACAGACTGGCCCTGTCTGTCACTGCGTAGGAACACGGGCCTCACACAGTTGGGTTTTAGTTTCCCTTATCAGGACCTTGGCCAGACTCACTTGGTAACAGGTTATATGTAGTGTTCAGTATTTGCAGCAACGGGTCCAATGAATCCGGTTGTTTGTTCATAAAATACTAGCTTTTAAGCTGCCTACTTGTATTTCTTAACCTAACAAGAGGTGTTACAGCTGGCTTTTTATACGGAAATTACACATATCAGGGATTGGAGAGGGAAGGGAGAGGAGGCAGAACTTTCATGTGTACCACAAAGCATGCACAAGTTTCCGCCTGGAGAAGTACAAGCCATTTATTTGATTGCTTTCAAAGGCTGGCAGAGAGGACAAGGTAACATGCCGCTAGGTATCTCTGCCAAGTTAGCCAAACGCAAGAAATTGCTGGCAATAAAACTCCATAGCAGCACGACGCTGGCGGTTCTCTTGCATCATTTAGAGGCTGGTGAAACAAAGACAAGAGGACAGAGGTGCCACATTCTAAAACCTGCACCTTAGGTAACTTTTTCTGGAGGGAAACCTTTCAGGTGATACTTTGCTGGTTGGTCTGCTCAAAAGGGACGTTTGGGGCATCATAAGCAAGGTGAGCCTCAGCATGAGGTAGTGAGTGTGTGTCAGAGATGAGCACTGGTTTTATTGAATGCTCGGATCTTTCTGGCACGCAGCGTTATGAAGGTGAAATCTGCACCTTGGCAAGTGCGTGGGCAGCACAGATGCCTTCTGTCTGCTAAGCGTGCACAGAAAAGAGTTACGGACGCTGAAGCTCAGAACATCAGTGGGCAGGGATGTGACATCAATGCGTGTGGCTTAGAAATCACCTGACCAACTAAATCCTTCCCTGATCCTGCCAGGTCATTCCACGTAGCTCATCAAGGGCAGGTCTGCAAACCTTTCCCCTGCTGTGGAAGCAGGTTTCCTTTGGAGCACGTATGCCAGCCGGAGCAGACATCGGTGCGGTCAGAGCACGTACGTTGAGGCAGCCAGCAGAGTGGCTGTGTGCAGAACCTGTGTGCCCTCTGATCCGTGGAGGGAGGAGAAGCACGAGCACCCCAGGGGTGATGTGTAAAAGTGAGCTTTCCTGGGCTGGATGGTGTTTAGGTGTTACGGATCGACTTGGAGATTGTTTCTTTTAAGCATCTGTTGAATGAAGTGATGTAATTGGGATCAAAATGATAATTTATCTGCACTGAAAACGGTGGGCGTGTGGTACCATTAACTGGGCCACGCTGCGCACTTAGATCCAAGCAAAGTATTTCACAGGCCATGTGCTATGAAGTCGGAGCACTGGATCACCAAGGCGTTTGGTTTCTATTCTGCACTCCCAAAATTCGCTGGGTGACTGAAGGCTACTCACTTCACCTCGCCGTGCCTCGTCTTCCCTTTCTATCTAAATGGGGATAGTAATACTTACCTACCTACCTCACAGAGGTGTTGTGAGGCTTAATTAATTAGGCCCTGAGTTTTAGCTGGATCTTAAGTCAACTTCCAGTCTTGCACCTGACTACCTGAATGGTGAGTGCAGTCAGCTCTCTAAACTATTAGGGGCACATTGCTGATGCAGATAATTGTTGCACTTATCATGTCTGGATGCTCTTCTTGAAAAGACGGATCTGACAATTAGTGATTTTCTTAGGGATCTTGGAGGAAAAGCATGATAGCAGGACAGAGAATTCAGTTCTGATACCGGAATATAAAATTACTTAGGCTCAGCTTACTCGTGGTGCATATATCAGATGCTTGCTTTAGGTATGCTCTAGAATCCACTGGTTTTGGGAGAATGTTTTCCTTTTTGCCATCACAAGAAATTAACACGAGCACTAAAGGCGAAGAATACAGGGCTGTGTTGTTACAGTCAGCTAACGAGGGACGGGTGATCGCAGAAGTTTCAGTGCAGAGAAGCAAAAAGAGCAGCTATTTGTCTGCTCGTGTTATGCAATGTAGCAAAACAGTTGAGTGAATCTGTTCAGCTCATATGATGCAAGTTATTTGTCTGTACATTACATCTTTCTGTGATGGTTTGGTGCTAGATATCATCTTCCCATCATTTGGCAGGAAAAAGTAGAATAGTGGGCCAAAATGAGTCAGTACAGTGTCTACCCATCATGTAGACCGTGATGTTGCTGATCATGCAACTTGCTGTGGTCACAAGACTGCTGAGACTTCATGTGACCTACTGTGTTTCTAACCAGCTTAACTGTTTTAAAACGACATCCCAGGAACACCCAGGATGGAAGTGGGCAGCTTCTTGTTTATAGCAACAGCAAATACTCCCTGTAGTGCTGCATAACGTGCCAGAAATAAGCCTCTTTACTTGTAGTTTACTTCCTTACTAAAGGATCTTTTAATCTGTAGAAATTATGTATTGCCATTTTGGTTCAACCCATCTTCATGCTGCCAGTAGGTTTCGTACTGGCTTAAAGTTTTCAGAGAGAGACAAATCGGGGCGGGGGGGGGGGGGGGGGAGGTTCTTCTGTTGTTGCTTTGGGGAGGGGGGAGCATTAGAAACAGGGAAGGGTTCAGATGTAGAGGAAGTTCAGTATTTGGGAAAGTGGTGTTGTATAAATATGGAAGGTGAGTGTCACTAGAACAAGTCCTTTGGGAAATGTGTTTCCATTGACGTGGCACAGGGCACTTCCATTGGCTTAATAAGAGCCATGAAGATGCATGCTCACTTGTGGCTGGGAGATGCTTTACACACCTTGTGCCTCACTCCTCCACTCCCTGAATGAGAAACAGCCCCTTTGTGAGGAAAAAAGAGTTTTATCAGGTTTGCCCAGTATGTGGAGAAATTCAGGAAATGAAAATAACACGTTCTCTGTTTGATATTAGGATTCCTTCTGTGGAGTTTAAATGCATTTGTCGTCGTTGTATTTGTGCATGGTACAAGTGACAACACTGCTTAATACAGTGAGCAATAAGAATTAGGTATTATCCACTTTCACATTAAACCTGCCACATGCAACCATTCCCCAAGGCCATAGAATGTATTTTAGTTTGGTTTTGCCCAGTATGTTTTACTGTGTGAGATTACAGATTTTTTTTTATTGACTGTCTTTAGCTCCAACTAAATGGGAACAGTGAACAATCTCTCTGATCAAAATCCAGTTTCATTTGATTCTGTTGGTTAGCCTGTACTCTGGCCTGGTACTGATTTTCCTTCTTTTTAATCATACCTTACTTAAACAAGGAAAAAGCATTGAAGGGGTGCTACACCCATGTATGTCGCTCTAGGCCATATTTCCTTTCGTTTGGTCAAACTCGCTCTGTGAACATCTCTTTCAGGTTGCGGAACAGACCCAGGTGCACAGATACGTCTGTGAATCTGTTAAGAAACACGGGTGGTTTCAGGCTAGATGGTAACAATGGGTTTGAGCAGTTTCAGGTTCATTGCGTTGCCGTGCCGTCCAGAAAGGCTGCAAATGTGTGTGGAAAACTTGGTCCCTCGGTTGCCAAACTCCTTCAAAAGAGCGCTGAAGATGGTGACTCGGAGAGGACTGTCAGCAAAGACCCTTCCAAGCAGCAGCCCTTTAGCACTTGCTCTCCTTGTATGCAGTGTTAGCCATGTTTGGCCTAGATGGACTTTCTTTGTAAATTAAAACTCTGTTTCCAGACAGCATTAAACTTTTTATATTATGAAATTTACCATGTAAAAAGATTTTCATATTTTTATTGAAATTGCTAAGGCATTTGGCCTTCTTTCTTTGTGATTTCAGTGTCTATTAAAGCATGAGTTCTCTGAGTACTTAGTCTCTTGGTCTAGGATGATGTTGGGAAAGAATTCGCTGGCACACTGCGCTCTGTGCTGGCACCCAGCTGGGTGCTAGTGTGTTCCTCTGGCCTGCTCCCGAGAAGCAAAGTCATAAATTCATCTGCATTTTGTCGCAAAGCAGATCCTCAGCTTCCCCTGTGGAAGTGAGAGGTCACTGAGAACTTCCTCCTGTTTCTGTGGCAGAATGTAGTGTTCCTGTTACAAACGATGACTGGAAATTGCTTTTCCTTTTTCGAGCAGGTGGTGGGAGTGTCAGTATTTGCTCGCTGTCTGTCTTGTTGTCAGCAGCACAAGGACACACAGGGTTGGAAGGAGCTTCAAGGACCGCCCCATCCCATCCCTGCGCCATGGAAGAACCAAGTGCTGCAGGTACGCTGTATTTCCCCCCGCTGATGCCGGTTGGAACTTGCTGACTTCAGTCTTCCTTCCGCCCCCATGTGAAAGGTGCCCTTGTGCTTAGGGGGAGTGTTGGTGACCAGATGAAACTAAAGAGAATTTGGCTTTTTTTATGGTCTCAGAAGTTTCCATCCACGCCAGTCTCCCAGTTGTGTAAATGCAGCCTCTGGCCATGTGGACAGAAGACGCAAACCATATCCTCAGTCACGACACAGCAGGCTCTTACTGGCCTACAGTCTCTAGCCTCCAAATCTTTCATCTGCTGAGAATGAGGTGACCTGAACCACATGAATCACTGCCATCTCCCTGGCGTTCGCTGTTGTAAGGGACCTTTCCTGGTATGTGTCTGAAGTCACTGATTCTCTGTATTTGAAGGCCTGGGCGGGGCAGCCCCCCAGCAAAGGTTTTCTAGGTGGCTGCCTCAGCTTAGTCATGCCTGTGTGGTTACCTATGGCCTGGTGACGCATCCAGTGTGAACCAGTAGGCAGCTGGGGTGGATGCCGCAGCTTCCTCTGTCATTGTTGCCAAGATGCTGCTGCTGTACCACAGAGAGGCAAGGAAGTCCTGTTCCTGTCAGAGGCGAGCTGCTAGAACAGCAGCTGTGGGAAGAAGTCAGTTCAGCGCTGCAAAAACGAGAGGGCAGTTGTCTTAAAGCCTGGC